AAAGTATTTTAATTTTCCTGTATTATAGTGTAATGTAGACTATAAATATACTTTTGAAATATTAATTTTCATTTATATAGTACATTTATAGGCTATAAGGATTTTACGTCATAGGAATAATTATATAAATCATTATTACATTATTATAATAATTGTTTGGCATCCTAAAACACCATTGATAATGTAATGTAGACTGAGACTCTCATAACTAAAAAGATGTTTGAGCCCTCTTTATTGTCCTGGTACAAATCAATGCTTTTTCTTTGTTCAACGAGCAGTTCATGGGTTGAAGCTATTTTTGATCTCTCAAAGAGCACAAGATTGATGCATTTAACCTTAAAATGTACAACATTTTCTTGCGGGGGAGCATGCCCCCGAACCCCCCTAGAGGCACAGAGGTCCACCCAACATAGTTTTACAAATTCCTATGGGAAAGAACGACCATTTATGAACTTTAATCCAGCATAGTACAACAAAGTTCCTTTTAAGTCAGTAAAACTGTAAATGCAATATTAAAATGTCCTTGGACAAAATATACATTTGGCTTGCCTAAGGGGGGGCCTACAAGACATTGTGCCCAGGGGCCTCTGAACTCTTAATCCGGCCCTGTACGGGGTGCTAGGGACAGGCCGAACGGCAGGACTGTGTATTGATATGCCTGGTCCTCGAAGGCGAATCTCAAGAATCGCCTGTGATGGGATGCTATTTGTATTCGGAAATAGGCGTCTTTCAGATCTATTGACATAAACCAGTCCTCTTGGCGAACTTGCGCGAGGATTTTCCTGGTTGTAAGCATTTTGAACTGGCGCTTCACAAGTGCTCTGTTCAGCTGTCGCAGATCTAAAATGGGTCTGAGACCTCCATCTTTTTTCGGTACCAGAAAATATCTGCTGTATAGACCCCCTTCGCTCTGAGCCTGAGATAAAGGTTCTGTAGCACCTTTGCTCAGTAGTTTCGCTATCTCGGCTCGAAGTAGATGTGCTACTTCTGTTTTCACCGTGGATTTGACGTGCACCGTGTAACGGCGGGGGCGTCGAGCGGGGGCGTCGAGCGTCGAGCGGGGGCTAGGGGTAGAATGACATCTGGGCTCCGGCCATGACATAGTGACGGCAAGGGAGCTCCGGCGTGCTGTAACGCAGACACTGTGTTTACAGTGTGTGAGGCGGGGGGCGCGCCGATCGTGGTGGGCAGCCTGGCCGCGCTCAAATCCCTTATAGCAGTTTGCTGAGGGAGAGAGAGCGGGGCGAGCCCCGTGGGGCTTAACATGTCTGTGAGTGAATGTGGGCGCGGGACCGCGGGCACATTTACTGCACTGAAAACGCCGTCGGCCTGAGCTGACTGAATGTGTGTTGGTTTCGTTTTTACAGAACCCGTGGGACATGTGGTGTGTAGTGTTTGTGGGCACTGAGACGTGGGCACATTCACTACATTTAGTGCACAATCGACATGAGGCGATTTTGTTTGTGCGAGCCCTGCATTTTTGCGGGCTGTGTTTGTGTGTAGAAATGAGCACTGGGTTGTGGGCATTTTATTACACTCACAACACCATCGGCTGTGGCCGGAAAACCAGAAAATACAATGCTTATATGATTTTTCTGGGTCGCCGTGGAAACGGCATTTATGTGCAGGCAAGCGGGCCGTGGTACCGGCTTGTTTACTGCAAAATACACTGGAACAGTCGCATTTTCTGGAACTGAACGAGCGAAAAGTGTTATACAACAGGCTCATTGCTGCAATATTGACATTTTCAGCCGCTCAAACTAAGAGGAGCTGAGAAATGTTTGAGAAATGGAGATTAGACCGGCCTCGGCGGGACTAAAACACACTCTTTTCCTCATTTTGCCGGTGACGCACGCCCATGGGGGGCGGGGTAGATTTCTTATAACGTAAAGAAAGCTAGCCGCGGTTTTAGGGCTCGCGGTCTTGATGCTGGCCCGTTTCCCTGATGACTCGCGGACAGAAGGGGGAGGTCCACAGAGCTCGCCCAGTCCTCACTGTCCGACGCCAGGATAGAGCAGCAGGTCTCCTCTACAGATGCAGCTATCTCGTCGTCATTAATGGCGGAAGCGGCGGCCGTTATCCGTCAGTGAGCGACTCGAGTGAAGCTGGTGAAGCTGGCGGGCGAACCGGCGAGCTTTCACGGGCTGGAGAAGGCTCGGGGACCCGCTGAGTACGACGCTTTACTGCGCGGCACTGTAGCGGGTGGAAGTGCAGTCTCGCTGAAGAATGCCAGGCGAGTCCTCAGAGTCACCGTAGGCAATAGCTTGCAGTGAGGGCAGCCGCCGTCGGCGAGCGCGAGAGCTGCATGATCCTCTCCCAGGCAGGAAACGCATCACATGGCGGTCCCCGTCGCTGAGTGTGGCTCGGCACGAGCCACAGGAGGATGGCATCTTTAAAAAGACGCGGCTCTTTTAGATGATAGACGTGTGAGTCGCGGGGCGAGCACACCCACACATACACACAGAGCAGAGTAAAGGATATATAGTACGCTGGAGAGCGCAGCAGGTACGGCGGCTGATGGCGGCGAGGTGAAGGCCAGCGACTTCAGGCTCAAGGGATCGTCCCGCTGAAGGCTTGCTTTGACGGCGCGGCTTCTCACTCTGGATCCAGTGGTGCGTGAGCTTCGCTGAAGAGATTAAAATCAGTTTGTATCAGCCTGTCGAGCTATATTTATAGGCCAAGGCCACGCCTATTCTGGCGGGACGTGACGTAAATGGGCGCGAAGCACCCCCATTGGGTATCACGTCACGCAGGGCCTCTCTTGATAGGCTGCTGCTGTTGCCACAGGTCAGCCAATAGGCACGCGAGCCGCCTTGCCTATGTCTGCATGCTGTCGCAACGCGTTTTACATTGATTCAAAATTAAGGATAATTTTTGGCTTCAATATCTCGAGAAAAAGAGGTTTTCCCCATAGCGTAAGATATTACGCAGTACGAGAGATACTCTCGTAAGAGAACGGACATTTTAACATGGGTGTCTATGGACATTTGCTCCCTTTTGGGACCTGCCCCTAGAGGATTTTCGATGTGTTGCAGTTTTTCGCACTTCCGGGTAGGGTTAATTTTTCAGATTAGAATGTTGCCGCTTGTGTGTAACCCTGTTAAAACGGGAGAGTGAGCTGTGTTTTGGAGCTGGTTAAATTATCAAATGGAGATTATCAAATAAAATATGCTGTGAATAATCCTTACATACAAGAGAAGAACGAGCAGGAGAAACTCCAGATGTAACAACAATTGTAATCTATGTGACATACTATGGTAAATAAATGTTACTAACACATAATGGAGTTTGTTAAAGTGGAGAATGAGGACGTTAGTTATCCAGAAACATGCAAAATGAAACAAAATACTGAAGAACAAACATTCTTGATTCTATTACTGACTACTGAGGAACATTTTTTATCATATATTATATCATATCAAAGATTACATATACTGTTGTTACTTTTTGCTTTTGTATTTGATTTAATTTAGATGATTTAATATGTTCCTTTTTAGACTTGATGGAAGTAAAGGTGGAAAGGGAAGAACTAAATGAAGAAAGAAACCACTTCACTTTCACTTGCTCTCGTGTGAAAAGAGTTTTGTGCAAAAAGGGAACCTTACGAATCACATAATTCACAGTGGAAAGAAACCATATTATAACTATAAAGATAAAAAAATTGCACATTGTCCCTCAAAAAATCCAATAATAAAAATGAATAGCTCAATAAAATAAACACCAAAACAGACCAGAATATTGCCTCAGCATGTATAACATATTATAAAGTCTAGATGTATAAAGAAAGACCTGCTGCTCACATTATTTAAAAAGTTGCTTTGTTTGTTGTGCAATGGAAAATATGTTTTCAAATAAATGCATTAAATGGAAACATGTTGGCCTAATTGTACATGGTCCCTTTTCTAATAAATGAATTAAACAAACAAACAAACAAAAATTAATAAAAGCATTATGTATTCTCTGAGAGTCAAATGTTGCTTTTGTCCCTTTACTTGCTGTGGAATGCCAAAAAAGAGAATGGTTTTATTTTTCTGATTTAGAGGAAACTATCTCAAACTGTGTTTGTTTTCTTACTGTGTGTGTTTTAACGCATCACTGGAGATTTATCTTGTGGATTTTTTGTTTGTTATTTGGTCCTAATATATTTAAACTGTTTGTAGACTGAACTACAAAAGGGTATTTTGGTCTTTAAGGTTTCGGTTTTCGGAGTCATTCAGCGCCCCCTGGAGGAAGAATCGTGTTTGCTGCTCAATGCGACACTCGCATGCGCCGTACGGTAGATGTTTACTACAGTTCTGAACACGTTTGCGGCAGCAACATGGCAGTGAACAGCGTGAGGATCTTTTGTAAACAAACGCGAAATTCATATATGTCCGTTTAATATTTAGTGTTTAGGTATAATTATAATAATGAGTAATTATTACAAGCACATGACTACATTTTTATTGCACTACAGTGCCGAGAATATCGTGTAATTTGTCTGAGCAAAGTTTATTTTCAATACATACATGAAGGATTTACCTTATTAATCACTTTGGTCATCAATTTATGTTCTGCTTTTCTAATTAAGTAGATTATAAAATAACATATATTTAAATATATTTAACCCTAATTTTAACATTTTTCCTGTTATTCCATGGTATTTTTCGTTAGGAATAATACACTGTTATTTTTAAATATTTCTTCGACTGAAGATTAAATAAAGAACTGCTTTATTTTAGTTTGATTCATTTTCATTATATTGTTCTTAGAGCATAAGAGCATTTTATTCATCAGTCAGTTAAATTTGTTGTAGACAAACATGAAGATCGGTTGTTATTTATACATTAATTTATATATTATGCTGACTTTTTTTTTTTTTTTTTTTACATGGTTACAGTTTCTTCAAATTTTGGTTTATATTTGAGGAATCTCAATGAGTTATAATGAAGAAAGATTATAATTTTTGTGGGATTGTTTTTTTAAATCAGTAATTTATGTTTCTTCTCTTGTTTCAGAGTGATCACATCCCTTTCAAAATAATTCAGCAATAAATGTTGGGAATATTCTCATCATCAAGGCTAGAAGTGCATCTGGACACGCAGGAGACACTCCAGGTGTATCTGTGTGCCGTACTAGAGTAAAGATGGAGTTTATTAAAGAGGAGATTGAAGACATGAGTGATCCTGAACAATCCAGAATAAAACATGAAGATACTGAGGAACAAATAGGTTGGTGTTTATTCTTGATTCTTCATTGTTGACAACTGTGAAACATTAACAAAGCTCCAGTTTGTTTTAATTCTTCACTGTTGACCGCTATTAAAGACATGTACCCCTATCCACCTTATTTTTCTATCCGGAAGTAAGCTATCTTCTGTGAATTGACTAGAAGAATAACAAAGTGCATTAAACCGTAAAACTATTTGCGCAACAAACCACTGTTTAAAATTATGACAATACATAATATAAGAAACACCAGTTTACAATATCAAGCAGCATAACAAGTAGGGCTGGGTATTGTTAGGAATTTCACAATTCGATTTGATTTCGATTCGATATTGATTTATTAGCTTCGATATCGATTCAATAATAAGTAAATACACAAGTAATTAAGTACCTGAGTATATTTTTAAATAATGTGTGGATTATTACCAATGTTTAAGAACAAATTGACCCCAGCATGTTTCCTGTCATGGTTTATTTAGCAGAACAAACTGTACAATATTGTACATGTGTTGAATACAAACCACAACTTTAAACAAACAGGTTCTTTATTAACACCTCTAAAGTGCATGTAACTGTAAGTAGTAGAAAATATATTTCTTTCTTCCTATACATTCAAGTTATAAAAGAAATGTAAACAGAAGCACAAAATGTGCATACTCATAAAACAAAGTGCAACCATAGATATTATAACATTACAAAGTGCTATTTTGTCAACACAATAAATAACACTGAACAGCTGATCTGGGGCCTATACCATGAAGCCGGTTTAGGTGGCTAGCCAGCTATGTTTCAGCTTAGTTTCTGCCAACCCTGGGTTTTAGGTACTATGAAAGTAGCTCGGCTTTAATCGGTGTTCGTTGCCATGGTACCTTACGCTGCACGGCTAACCTGCTCCGGGGCAGGTTAAGTTCTGGATTTGAGATCTCAGACTGAAGTTTGACCAATCAGCTGTGAGCAAAGAAACATATAGGTGACGTAACTAATTCCCAGTGTTTGTTGCAATGGCTTTACATTTTCTTTCAAATCCTGTGGACATCTCAGCGCAAATTGTTAGACGAGCACATCGTAGAGAAAGAGTTTTTAGCCGGACAAAATCCCCTTGCCTTTTCTGATAGTTTATGAAAGATACAGATTTTCTGCGGAAGGAATATCTAATCTTTGCGAACTTCTTGAGCCGCACATAAATAATTTAACACATCGAATTCATGCACTTACTGTACCCTAAATGGTATTGCGGTGCGTTTTTTTGCAAGTGGTAGCCTACATACTTGCACGATCGGTGATGCACAGAATCTAGGGGAAAACACGGTTTGTCGAACCATTCGCAAGGTGGTCCTCGCTCTGCAGGAGTACATTAATAGTTTAATAGTGTTCCCCAGACATTTATTGACCATGTCCATAAGAGAGGGTTTTTATAAAATTGCCGGTAAAATATATTGATAGGGTGACATCACGTTTTTTTTTCTTTCAAAAAGCAAATTTCACAAATGTACTATATAATACAGTACATGTTAAGCATTATTTTAATCTTATGATAGGATTCCCTATAGAGTCATTGGAGCAATAGCCTGCACACATGTTGCAATCTCCACTTCTCTTGGAGAACATGAGGCAGATTATGTTAATAGAAAGTCTTTTCACAGCCTTAATGTTCAGGTAGAGATTATGTGAACATGTGAAATTATTATTTTCTGTGAGATGAATCTTTAAATTAATAGTAAAATTAACAGATAACAATCTACTTTCCGTGAGTTTGTTGTGTCAGCGTTTTGAGGAAAACTAGTTAAATTTGGTACAGTACAAAACACTGTTTATTTGAATTGGGACAGCAAAACCTACACAATAACCCCCTATCATGACCCTCATGTGTCAGCAAAACCATAGTAAAAGTTAGAGATGATCTTTGGCATCCTAAAGGCACGTTTCAACTGTCTTCGGCGCTTAAGAGTCACCAGAGTGGGCATCACAGATAGTGTCTGCATGTGCCATTCTGCACAATATAGCCACCATAGAAAGGAGCCAGAACCACCACAGAAAGCTTCTCCCCGATGAAACTGACTTGGTTACTTGGTTAAATAAGTTCACATGCTGAGATCAGGCTCCTTTAGTGTGCAGTCTAGCTCTATAGGCTCCTTTAGTGTGCAGTCTAGCTCTATAGGCTCCTTTAGTGTGCAGTCTAGCTCCATAGGCTCCTTTAGTGTGCAGTCTAGCTCCATAGGCTCATTTTGTAAAGGGCCCTGACTGAGTCTGTTTCCACCTGAAACATAATTCCACCACAAACATGATCATTACAAGTTTTTGGGAGGCTAATCAACTTACAAAAAGTTCCTTGACAAACACCTGTTATATATGTCAAGGGTTTTAAATCCTTACCTTGTTCACATTTCTTTTGAAGCCTGTTGAGGTAGAGGCTTCAGTTTCTGGGACAGGTTGTGAAAAATCCTACAATAAAAGAGATGTGTAACTTGGGCCAGTCCCTGTTTTATGCCACACATTCAAATGTTTGCCTTAATAAAAAGCCCAGTGCATTCACCTCAGCAACTGTCCCAGAACACAGACAGAGTGTCTTCATCATTTCCTCCTCCCTGATAAATAAAAGTAGGCCAATATGTTTCTGGTGTTCTGTCTGCTGCATACTGACCTCTGTGTTAATCGTAATTCTGAATGATTATCTCTTGCTCCTCCGCGGAAAGAAAATATCGCTCTCGCTCTATCCATATTGAACTCGATTGGTTGTTCGGTGCCAATGTCACTTTGGTATGTGCACGCGCTCGTGGAGTAATCATAGCTTAAGATCAAAGCCTGAGTTGACAGAGAAAGTTGATGAGCTGCGTCATGGTACCAATAAAGCCTGATTGCATCGGTTTGGTTTTGTCAACTCAAAACTAATCCTGTAACTCCGAGTTTGTTCAGCTACCTTCATGGTACAGGCCCCAGAGAACCTTTGGCTTATTTACTGTGCCTATATGTAGGATACATTACAGACATTTCCATCATATAACTCATAACATTTTAGTACAATATATTAGGGGTGTGCCAAAAAATCGATTCACAGAAGAATCTAGATTCTCATTTGCAACGATTCAGAATCGATCTGAAATGTCCAAGAATCGATTTAATAAATAAATAAAATCAGCTGGCTGTTCGCCTCCATTTTTGTAACTATAGCCTATACGGGACGTCCGGACGTCATGCACGCAGCCGGTTTTTGAACGTGAGCGACAAATCAAAGGAAGCAAATATGGATGTTTTTATAGAGCTTCTGATGCTTCTAAATATGATGCTTCTACATTCATTCTGCCGTGGCCGGCCGCCACACCTAAAATAATCCCGCCACGGCTGCAGCTTCTCAGTGAGGTCCGATATAAATGTGCATAGCATACTAGTGTTATTGTTAAGCTAAAGGCATAAAAAACATTGTAAAGCACCATAAAGTGTTCGCACTATATTCCAAGACTTCTAAAGTCATTCAATAGCATAATGTGAGGTAAAAATGAATATTTAAGTCGTTAGTTAAAGTTAATGGAAACTCATCTCTCCTCAGTCATTCTCCATTCAGCATTCACACAGCGCGTCGCGTTATAGCGTTTTTTAAATTATAATCCTTTCTCCCGGGTGTCTGTTAGATTACAGCACTGGAGAGCGCTATGAATTGTTCTTCATGCGCACTGTAACTGAAATTTAAAACTGTTAAAAGAAAATGCTCAATAAACTGTTGCATATATATAATACATTAAGCATAGATAGACAGATATAATCTCTTCGCTTTGTGCTTTGAACTTTTCAATCCGGAGCGCTGCGCGCTGTGACTTCACGTTGCTTCAAGTGCATCATTCTGCGCACGGGATGCGCATAATCGCTTTGCCGCTCTTATTCGAGCCTTTCATGTTATAATGATTAGGGGAGGTTTAAACACCTGGGGTAAGGGGGCGTGGCCAATGGGAATATCACTCATGGGCCACGCCCCCTCCCCCTGGGGAAATGGGCCTGCCACCACAGCTGGAAAAAATCCTAGAGGAAACACTGGTCTCCGTTTGTCATTCTGTATAGCAAAGCAGATGAGAGTAGATCATGATCAGAAACCCGATTGGAAATCATTATGGATAAAATCGAATCGTTTTAAATCGAAAATCTTTTTGAATCGAAAATCGATTTTGAATCGAATCGTGGCCTCAAGAATCGGAATCGAATTGAATCGTGAGATGGTAAAAGATTCCCACCCCTACAATATATATAGAACATGTTAACTCTGAAGCATTTGTTATCAAACTAGTGCACAGGTTTTTGTTAAAAAAAAGCAGCTGGTCTACATGCTCAGGCGTCAGTGCACTTCTCTGGGCTGTGACAATGTTGAGAAAACTCTCTCAGTTGGTACACTACTACCAGGAATACAGAGGTATCGCTTAGCTTGGCATGACAAAAGAGGAAATTCCACCTCATGTTCCTTCCACCAGCTGAGTGGATTAGTGCTGAGTGGTACTGGTTTTACCTCTTTGTACTTCATCACCTCATCTACTGCATCATCTCTTGTTTTTATGGAGTCTGCTTCTGGAGTATATGTCTGCCCAAGGAGATCTGCCAATGCACAAGAGTCTCTTTTCTTCTTGGATGGGGGTCCAGAGTCCTCAGCTGGTTCTGCTTCATTGGCCTCTGCATTTATTGGTCCACTCTGTTGAGAAAGCAAATGAATTGTATTGTAAATAGTTATCACCCTTTTCGAAATAGTGTATATAACAATATAGTTAGATTTAAATTCATAATTGCAGTGTATCATTAATTATAAAAATACATAATGTTTTTATTCACACTATGCAGTGCTTACTGAGCTTTTTTCAGTTGCCAGTGTCTTAGTGTTATCAGTGAGTTGGGTGAAGACTTCCTCACGCTCATCATCAGTCAAAAAAGGCAGGGCCTTAAAGCGTGGGTCCAGGGCAGAAGCTAAGTAGAGTTGTTCCTTTAAGCCTGTGTACCTTAAAATAAATTAAATATAATACATTTCTATTACAAAAAATAAATAAAAATTATCATTATGAAATTAGTATCATACAAAACAACTGTCTTAGAATGAAGTGTCATAATGATAATAAATACCTTTTCTGGAGATCCTGATGCACAGCAGATTTCATCTCCTTCACCATCACAGGATTGGTACATCGGTCACTAACTTGTGCTGTGGCAGGTCCAGCAGTTTCTGTTTTTTTACTATGGTGCTCCGGTGGAAAAATGCGGAGATCCGCCTCAGTCTGCCTAGAAGCCTTGATACTGCAGGCATCTTGAGAGCAGCCTGTGATGCCAAGTTTAGGACATGTGCAAAACAGCCAATGTGCAATGTCAGTCCAACTGCACGTAGCATGTTAGCTGCGTTACCTGTTACAATTGCTGCCACTTTGTCATTCAAGCCTCATTCATTCATTGCCTCGGTGAGCAATTTAGCAATATTTTTCCTTGTGTGGCTTTCAAAGAGCGCTCTGGTCTGCAGGATGTTTGACACAAGGACCCAATCAGTTAAAATCATGCGTCATCAAAACAAAAAGCAGCATGTAGTCGACAAAGCATCGAGGAGGCGTCGTATGATCATTTAAACGAGTTTTGTGACAAGCGGGCGCGGTTGAGCACTTCCAGAAATCCGGTGGCCACTATGGACATAAAACTTGCGTGTTTGGAACCGATGATCGGAATCGAAAACAATTTTCTAAATGATTCCAATGGCATCATTATTTTTTAAACGGTTCAAAGTTGGAACCGGTTCTCGATGCCCAACCCTACATACAAGTTGTCGATTTAGATGATTTAACGAGTTTGCAAAATTCTTCCTCTCCTATAGCAACAAATGAATCAAATTGTTCCCCAGGGAGACTACAATGCACTCCCTAATGCGATACTGTAGTAGACGGTTGCATAATTATAATTTTGTCCCTGATATTATCGATCTTATAAGTGAAGAAGTTCATAAAGTCATTACTGCTGTGTTACTTGGAAACTTCTGGGCTTGAAGCTTTCTTTTTTCATTAGTTTCGATAGTCTTTTTCCATTGTTTCAAATAAATACCTAGGATTATGTTTATTTTCTTCTAATAGGGTTGAAAAATAAGCAGATCTAGCAGCTTTTCAGGCCTCTCTGTATGCAAACCAGCTCACACATACACTCACAGGCGTCCTTAAAAGACGATCTATAAAACATTTCCCATTGAACACACATATGTAATACGCAAATATAACATTAAAACATTTTGTTTTAATCACAGCACAGCACAAGGGTCACAGCACTTACATATTGTTTAACTGCTTCTATTGCTCTCCTCATTTGTAAGGCGCTTTGGATAAAAGCGTCTGCTAAATGATTAAATGTAAATGTAATAATAATAGGATAATAATAATCTTATTCTGGCCTCACAGAACCATTGGGTTCCTTCAGATGCTGGCTTTAACATAAGAGATCTTTCAGGAACCACTTAAATGTTAAAAGATCTTACAATAACCCTTTTATAGCATTCGATTTCCTCTAATTTCCCCCAAAGCACTTTGAGGTTTCATGGTGATGAAAAGGTGACTCCAGAACCTCTGAACTGAATACAAAGTGCTTAAAGGATCCCATAAGATCCAGCAAGAACCGCAAAGATTGTCAATGCTCCACCAGTAACCCTACTGTAAAAAATTATTGTGATTTTAACGGTAAAAGAAAAATGCTAGTGCAAAACTGTTCATTGGTTAACAGAAAGTTTCCTTTCTATAAACGGAAAATAACTGTGATAGATCTAACGGTACATTTAATGTAAAATACCGTTAAGTTTACAGTTTTTGAAAGTGAAAAAGAACAACTCATTGTATAATTTACAGTGAAAAAATAACTATTTCTTCTTAGTTTTCTTAGTTCTTGTCTAATCAGTTATGTACATTAGGGTTTTATGTTACATTTAATGTTGTTAAATTAATGTTTATTGCATTTTTTAAATTTCATGTGTGTTACCATGATGGTGTTTAATGTTTGTGCGAATGACTCTGTGCAGCTTCTATATATTAATATTAACTTTCATGTGGAAGAGCTGCTTGTGATCAGTTTTTGATTTATCATGTGACTCTCATCACTGCATGATTGTTGGTTGTCAGTGTATTACAATGGTACAAAACAGGGTAACACTTTATTTTAAGGTGCTTGTAATAAGCAGTAATTAACAGTTAATAAGACACTTATAAGACCTTATAAGATGCATATAAGATGCATATAAGCATTAACTAATGATAATAAATAAATTAAATTAAATAATACATTTCTCAAGTATCAATACATTGCACTTTTAGAACAGCCGAACAAACATAAATAGTTACACAAACTCCCAGTCACTTAAAAATTGACCTTCCCAAGAGGGAGTAGTTTCCCTGATCTCTTCAGGGCCTGGACCTTTAATTACCCCTTATATGAAGTAGTTAATGCTTATATGCATCTTATATGCATCTTATAAGGTCTTACAAGTGTCTTATTAACTGTTAATTACTGCTTATTACAAGCACCTTAAAATAAAGTTTTACCCAAAACGGATATTATTAATACTTCAATAGGTTGGTAAATTAACATTATATCAGATAATGAAATACAGTTTATTACTGTAAATTTTAAGTTAAGTCTGTAAAATCAATAACATTGTTACTGTATTTTTGACGGTAAAGTTCCGGCAACCACATCTGCGTTTTTTTACCGTAAAAATTACATTTTATTTTTTTGGGCACTTAAATTACATTTTTAAGTTCATTGAGTATCCGACAGGATATTTGAGGCACTTTTTTTTTTTTTTTTTTTTAGTACACACAAAAATCATTGCTGATTTTATGAATGGTTTCAATTAGTTCAAATGCATGATGATCACTGACTGTTTGGCTTAGTTTATATATATGTATATATTATTGTTAGATACATACCAATCATAAGAGCTGTGAGAAATAAGCAATTAATTTAGGAATATATGACATAAATGCACTTAGATCATAATCTTGTACAGCAGTTATCATTCACATTTTGACTCAACAAGAGAATGACAAAACTAACCTTTGGTACAACAAAAATATGATATTTGATAAACAGATCTCACTTATGAAATCAGGGTTCACTTGAAAATTCACATTATCCTCCAGAACTCATTCTAACAACTTAATCTGTTTTAATGTCTCAGACCCGATGGAAGTGAAAGAGCAAAGACAAGAACTGAAGTTAAAGGTGATGATGCTGTAGTTTGTTTCAGCCTGTTGACACCAATAAAACGATTTAATGCGCCAATTTACTGAAGATCTCAGACATCACCATAATGAATGAGCTGAAAACAGGGAACTTTTGGAGACAAAGAGGTTTTTCAGCTGCTCAGTTTAACATGATGGCCCTGTACTTTTTAAATGCAGATTGGATAAATTCACAGTGATCACAGTTCACACCTGCAGTGAATCCCCTCCCACAACAATTCACCAATAAATACTGGGAATATTCCCATCATCCTACAAGAGAAGGACAAACTCCAGGAGTAGCAGGTGAAATCTGCGTGACTGTTAAAGATGGAGTTTATTAAAGAGGAGATTGAAGACATGAGTGATCCAGAACCATCCAGAATAAAACATGAAGATACTAAGGAACAAATAGGTTGGTGTCCATTCTTGATTCTTCATTTTTGATGCTTTGGTAGATGTGAATTAATAAGCAGTATGTGGATGATAAATAATAGAGAAATACATCTAAATGATCATAACCTTGTATATAGCAGTTGTCAAACCTATTTTTACTATATTAACAATGAATGACCGAATAACAAGTGAAAGATCTAAACTCTGTTGTTTTCTGCTATTAAATAAGGATTCACTTGAACTGATTCTAACTGTATTTCTGTGTATTTTAGACCAGGTGAGAGTGAAAGAGCAAAGACAAGAACTGAATGAAGTGGAGGAGGAACATCGTAACTTTACAATTCAAAGAACAAAAGCCAAAAAGACGCACACCTGCACTCAGTGTGGAAAGAGTTTCACACACAAAGGAAGCCTTTACAGACACATGAGAATTCACACTGGAGAGAAACCGTATACATGCACTCAGTGTGGAAAGAGTTTTACTAATGCATCAGCTCTCAGTTATCATCTGCTGATTCACTCTGGAGAAAAGCCATTTAACTGTGATCAGTGTGGTAAAGATTTTATTTCATCAGCAAATCTAAAACACCACCTGAAAGTTCATTCAGATGAGAAGCCTTATGTGTGTTCTCTCTGTGGAAAGAGTTTTTCACGTCTGGACAGTCTGAAACAGCACCAGAAAACACATAATGAAGTGAGAGATTATATGTGCTTTGACTGTGGGAAGAGCTTTACTACATCTGGTGATCTGAAACAGCACCAAAGAATTCATACTGGAGAAAAACCTTACAAGTGCTCATATTGTGACAAGAGTTTCACTCAGGCTGGAAACCTGAAATCACACGAGCGAGTTCATACTGGAGAGAAGCCGTTCAACTGTACTCAGTGTGAGAAGAGTTTCACCCATTCAAGTAGTCTATTGACTCATATTGGAAAGTATTGTTCTGTGTCACAGTGAGCAAATGTTTTGTTAGATTCACATAAAGTAAATGTGTAGTTAGTTACCTAATAAACTAGTGTTGCTGTGAAATGCCACAAGATTTGTGTTTTATAAGTTGGAGAACAAGAATATTATTGATGTAGCACCCTGCTAAATTTATATATTGTTTCTTTTGTGTTCTGCTAACAGAAATATAGTAGCTGCTACAGTGAGGAAAATACATATTTGAACACCCTGCTATTTTGCAAGTTCTCCCACTTAGAAATTATGGAGGGGTCTGAAATTGTCATCGTAGGTGCATGTCCACTGTGAGAGACATAATCTAAAAAAAAAAATATCCAGAAATCACAATGTATGATTTTTTTAACTATTTATTTGTATGATACAGCAGCAAATAAGTATTTGAACACCTGTCTATCAGCTAGAATTCTTACCCTCAAAGACCTGTTAGTCTGCCTTTAAAATGTCCACCTCCAATCCATTTATTATCTTAAATTAGATGCACCTGTTTGAGGTCGTTAGCTGCATAAAGACACCTGTCCACCCCATACAATCAGTAAGAATCCAACTACTAACATGGCCAAGACCAAAGAGCTGTCCAAAGACACTATGTCACGATACAATTTACAAAAGTGGAGAGGAGGACTCAAGTGCAGTGAAGGGATGATTTATTAACTAAATAAAACAAAACACAAAGCAAAAACCCACAAAGGGGAAAACACAATAAATGAAACATAAAACAACACTGAACTAGGAGAACCAATACTGACTAAGAACATGACGACCATCACAGGGAAACCGGGGTGACAAAAGACAAAGATCCGACAAAGACAGCAAACAAGAGGAGACTTAAAAAGGGAACAAATCAAGAGGGGACAGGTGGAACAACTCAAACACTAATCAGATAACAAGGGGGAGGGATCAACAATCAAAACAGCACATGGCACAACATAACAAACACCCATGTGCAACACAAGACAGGACAGGCATGTGACACACTAGAGACACAATTGTACACCTCCACAAGGCTGGAAAGGGCTACGGGGAAATTGCTTGGTGAAAAAAGGTCCACTGTTGGAGCAATCATTAGAAAATGGAAGAAGCTAAACATGACTGTCAATCTACCTCGGACTGGGGCTCCATGCAAGATCTCACCTTGTGGGCTCTCAATGATCCTAAGAAAGGTGAGAAATCAGCCCAGAACTACACGGGAGGAGCTGGTCAATGACCTGAAAAGAGCTGGGACCACCGTTTCCAAGGTTACTGTTGGTAATACACTAAGACGTCATGGTTTGAAATCATGCATGGCACGGAAGGTTCCCCTGCTTAAACCAGCACATGTCAAGTCCCGTCTTAAGTTTGCCAATGACCATTTGGATGATCCAGAGGAGTCATGGGAGAAAGTCATGTGGTCAGATGAGACCAAAATAGAACTTTTTGGTCATAATTCCACTAACCCGTGTTTGGAGGAAGAAGAATGATGAGTACCATCCCAAGAACACCATCCCTACTGTGAAGCATGGGGGTGGTAGCATCATGTTTCTGGGGTGTTTTTCTGCACATGGGACAGGGCGACTGCACTGTATTAAGGAGAGGATGACCGGGGCCATGTATTGCGAGATTTTGGGGAACAACCTCCTTCCCTCAGTTAGAGCATTGAAGATGGGTCGAGGCTGGGTCTTCCAACATGACAATGACCCGAAGCACACAGCCAGGATAACCAAGGAGTGGCTCTGTAAGAAGCATATCAAGGTTCTGGCGTGGCCTAGCCAGTCTCCAGACCTAAACCCAATAGAGAATCTTTGGAGGGAGCTCAAACTCCGTGTTTCTCAGCGACAGCCCAGATTCCTGACTGATCTAGAGAAGATCTGAGTGGAGGAGTGGGCCAAAATCCCTCCTGCAGTGTGTGCAAACCTGGTGAAAAACTACAGGAAACGTTTGACCTCTGTAATTGCAAACAAAGGCTACTGTACCAAATATTAAAATTGATTTTCTCAGGTGTTCAAATACTTATTTGCAGCTGTATCATACTTATCATGATTTCACCCAATCAAGTAGTCTAGGGAAACATATTAGAAAGCATTGTTCTGTGTCACAGTGAGCAAATGTTTTGTTAGATTCACATAAAGTAAATGTGTAGTTAGTTAACTAATAAACTAGTGTTGCTGTGAAATGCCACAAGATTTGTGTTTTATAAGTTGGAGAACAAGAATATTATTGATGTAGCACCCTGCTAAATGTATATATTGTTTCTTTTGTGTTCTGCTAACAGAAATATAGTAGCTGTGTCCTGAAATATGGGCCAGTTCAATTGTCCCTGGTAACACCTTTTCTTTTTTGTTTTTGTATTATTATGTGTTAATAAATTGTGAGGTGTTGAAATATCCTCTGTTGTGAGTAGCCCTTGAACCTCCCTGGTCATTTTCTTTTGTATTGGGTGGCCAGGTGTCAGTTTTGTTTATTATCCAATCAGAGAGCAGTTTGGGAACCTCCTGGGTTTTTGAGGGGGCGGGACTAAAAGAGAAAACGCAAAAGAGAGAGACGAAAAAGAAGACATAGAGATAGTTAAGAGCTAGTTGTAAGTTCTCTATTATTGATTACGTTAATGGTCCTCAAAGTTAAGAGCCAGGGGGCTTTTATTTATTTTATTGTTAAGTGTGTAACCCTGTTAAAACAGGAGAATGAGCTGTACGTGTTTTGGAGCTGGTTAAATCGCCCACGGAGATTCAAATAAAATATGCTGGGAATATTCCTGACATACAAGAGAAGAACGAGCAGGAGAAACTCCAGATGTAACAACAATTGTAATCTATGTGACATACTATGGTAAATAAATGTTACTAACAGTTGTATAATACATCTGCGATGCTACCATACACCCATTTCTAATGGATGAAGCCTTGGCCTGGGAGAGAGGTCATCAGGTGGTCCTCAACCTTCACTGGGTGTTTCGACCCTTAACCACAACACCCTCCAGCTGGCGGGTCAGCAGTGACTGGCCAGGTCACTGCCCCTCTCTTCCAGGCTTCCAGCTTATGTCCTCTCTCTTGTGCCAGAGCCAACAGGAGGCTCTCTCTGACGCTTCTCCCAGCCTACGAATGGTTGCTTTCCTTAAGTGGCCCCTCAATCCAACCTTTGTTAATAAATTCCATGCAGATTGAGTGGGGAATCCCCGACATCCGACTTCCACCGTCATCAGCCACGCCGTCCACCCTTTGTCCCGGCAGTCTTGAACAAGTTGCTGGTATTTGGCTTTTTTTCTCTCTGCAGCTTCCTCACAGCCCTCCTCCCACGGCACCGTCAACTCCACCAGAATTATCTTTTTTCCCTCTGGAGACCACATGATGATGTCCGGCCTTAGCGTTGTGGACAACACCACCTCGGGGAAGTGGAGTTTCCTCCCAAGATCAACCTCCATTTCCCATCCCTGGGCTGACTGCAGGAGATTCTGCCTGGCTTGGCTGTGGATGACAGGTCTTTGGCCCTCTTTCACAAAGCCGAGGGTGCTCAGCAGTGGTCTTGGTTTGGCTGGTTGTTTCTTCCTCCTTTCTTGCTCCAGAATGTCTGCAAGCACTGCCAACACCTTGTCATGGCGCCACCTGTATCTCCCCTGTGTCAATGCGGTCTTACACCCTGACAGAATGTGCGCCGTTGTTCCTTTCCCGCCACACAACCTGCACAGTGGGTCCTCCCTCATCCTCCACCTATGCAAATTGACTGGGGTTGGTAAGGTGTCGTACACTGCTCGGAATAGAAAGGATATACGGAAGGGCTCCATCCGCCACACTTCACTCCATGTGATTGTCCTCTTGGGGAGGTTCCACCTCGTCCAGGTGCCTTGGGTTGCGAGCTCGATTGATTTTGCTCTTCTCCCTTCTTCCTCAAGGTTTCGGACTTCATCCTGGATCATGGTTCTTTTCTCCCTAGGGGTGGACTTTGACCACTGCTGAAAATGTGTTGTTCCTGGACCCTGTCTTCCAGTGCAAGGGTTTCCGATGATATCTTTGGTCATGAGAGAACATTCTGCCTGGGTAATTGCCATGCTGGCGGCCCACTTACGGCCAGATCTTGTTCTTACTCCTGCTTCCCTGGTGAGTTGGTCTTGAGAGTCCCTATATGTCAGGGACTGTCTGCATTTGGCGACTTTAAACTCCTCCACCACTGAAGACAGGGGAAGCTGGAGCTGGCCCGACTTTATGTAGAGCCCCAAGGATGTAAAGCTCGGGGGTATTCCCAACCATTTTCTAAGGTGCTTGTTGAACTTCCTCTCCATATTTTCAACAGTTGATAGAAGCACCTCGTATACCGTGAGAAACCACATGAGTCTCGGGAGCAGGCCATGTTGGTAGATCCAGCACTTGTATTTCCCAGGCAGGCCAGACTTGTCAATCTTTTTCAGCCATTCTTCAACCTGCTTTCCTGTGCTGGAGATGCTGTTCCTGTCTGACAGGGAATCATCATACCACTTTCCAAGGCATCTAATTGGGTTCCCCTGAATGTTCGGGATCACTTCCCCTTGAACAAGTAGCTTGAACTTTACAGTTGTTTTGCCCTTTTGGATCACCAGGCTCCTTGATTTTTTTGGCTTGAAGACCATCTTTGCCCAAGTGGCCATACGATCCAATTCTGCCAGGACCCATCTTGCCTGCACGTGAGTTGGTGTTATCACGGTAAGGTCATCCATGAATGCCCTGATTGCTGGCTGTTGACATCCTGCTGCGGTCTTCGGCCCTCTTGACTTTGTACTCGCTGCAGAGATGATCAGGTTCATTCCCATGATGAACAAGATGGGAGAGATTGTGCATCTTGTCACTATCCCCTTCTCCACTGGCTGCCACTTTGTTGTAAACTTGGCAGACTGGAATCGTAGCTTGATGTCTCTCAGGTAACTGGTGATCATGCCCTGGATGTTATGTGGGATGTGGTAGTAGTCCAAAGCAACTTGGATCAAATTATGGGTAATAGACCCATATGCATTTGCAAAGTCAAGCCAGACAACTGTTAGGCTGCCTTTCTTCTCCTTTGCTTCTTGGATGAGTTGGCTGAGGACCCCTGTATGCTCCAAGCACCCGGAGAACCCTTTAACACCACCCTTCTGGATAGAGGTGTTAATATATCCATTCTGGGTCATGTAAGCGCTCATTCTCTTCGCAAGCACAGCAAAGAAAATCTTTCCCTCCACACTAAGTAGGGAGATAGTTCGGAACTGGCTGATCTGTGTGGATCCCTGTTCTTTGGGCACAAAGCACCCTTCTGCCCTTCTCCAGCTTGTTGGAATGGTTCCCTTGGACCAAATTACCCGGATAAGCTTCCATAGCCTTCGGAGGAGCTTGGGGCATTTTTTGTATACTTTGTACGGTATACCGCTGGGACCTGGAGCAGAAGATGATCTTGCGTGCTTGACTAACTCTTGAACCTCTCTCCATGATGGGCACTCTATGCTGAGGGATATAGTAGGTGGGTCGATGTTAATAAGCCCATGATTTCCTTCCAGGGCATCGTCTCTTGTAGGGTCACTGAACACCTCCTCAACAGACTGCTCCACCACCTCCTTGGAACTTGTTAGAGTCCCAGACCTCGCCTCTCCCAGAAGTGATTTGGTGAAGCGGTAATGGTCCTTTATAAACTGGGCTCAAGCAGCTTCCTGCTTCTTCCGCCTCTGCTTGAACCTCTCAGCTCTTCTTGTTCTGATGAGCTGCTCACGGAGGCTGGATGTAAGCTCTTTTATTCCTTCCTTTTCTCCTGTGCTTGCCAGTTTGAATTGTTTCCTCAGGGTTTTGATTAGGGATGTCCCGATCCGATCACGCGATCGGAAATCGGGCCCGATCACGTGGTTTCAGACTCGATCGGAATCGGACGTTACCTCCCGATCAGGACTCGGATATATGTAAATTAGGGGTGTAATAACGGTACATGTATTCGTAATTATTTTCGGTACGTTTTCGAACCGTTTCGGTACGAGGCTTCCGGTTCGGTACTTATACAAACCGAACGATTCCTTGGACTATTTTCCCTGCAGACAAAATCCACGCTGGCGCGATCACCACAACGTTGCGCAACATCAAATGGCAAACCTAATGAAAGCGGAACGAAACTGCGGTACTCAATATATTGTGCTTCACGGACCATTATCAGTTCGGACCAGCAACATCTGTGCAGCGCGAGATCAAGCGACACTGTGCTAAGAGATCCAGTGAAGAAAACATTTGAGTTCGCCACTGAAGTAATAACATCGCTGCGAGATCTAGTGAGAAGCATTCAAATTTCTCCGTTATTAACCGTAGATCTCTATTAGATCAAACAGCGCTGACGTGGGAACCAGGAGAAACATTGTGCCGTGAATGAACATGGATTTAATGTTGCACTTCAAAACTCAAATATTATATAAATATGTATTTAAATGTTATTTTTAATGTGATTACCAAAACATTATTTGTTCATCCTTCAAAGATTACCCCCATGTATAAACCTGAAAGTTTCAAGATGTAGGAAAACTCTAACTTATTTAAAAATAGTTTTTCTTTTAATGAATAGGAAATTTCTCTGGCATTTCTTTCTTTTTGCTGTATCGTATCGAACCAAACCGCACATTTTGTGAACTGTTACACCCCTAATGTATATATATTGCATCCGACCCAAATCTTGGCTTAGGGACAATTACCATTGTAATCATACATCAAATACTTAAGTCCATGAACATACTTTATTTTATTTTTTATGCTTATATTGTTTTGAAATTTCTGCTGTATTTATTATTATTATTGTTTTTTTTATTTTATTATGCTTACATTGTTTTGAAATTCCTGTTGTATTTATTACATTGCTACTGTATAGTGTATTTTTATTGACTTTTGTATTTTAGGGTGCCTGTTAAGATCTGGCTAGGGACAACAGATGGAAACTAGCACTTGTAGCTAACTCTGGCTTGTTTACAGCAAGTAACTTGTTTGTTGATCAATGAGCATTGTCCCTATCAAATAAAAAACGAAATAAAATAAATATTCTCATAATTTTTTTATACACTTTTAAAACATTTTTATTTTTTGTTTACATGCCTGCCGGGTAGTGCTATTTGTTTTTATATTAGACTTTTCCTATATTTACTGTTGCACTAAAGTCCAAAAGTGAAGATTTTATGTTATTTATTACTTGATTGTTCAAGCTACCTCACAGAAGTGCTCTGTTTGTTAACAGAGTTGTTAAATGTTAAAATAAGGTGAATTAAATAAAAAATAAGGAACATCCTGGATCTGTTTTTTCTCTCTTCTTTATTCTTTTTTTATGTATTATATAAGTATCGGATCGGGACTCGGTATCGGTAGATACTCAAAATCAAATGACTCGGACTCGGACTCGAGGGCAAAAAAACCTGATCGGGACATCCCTAGTTTTGATCTCCTTCCTAAGTTGTTTGATCTTTCTTTCTCTTCTGTTTTCCTGCTTTTCTGGTCTTGCTTTATTCTCTCTCCTTGGCACCCCAGCTGGCATTTTAACGTTGAGTCACTGTTGAAACAACGTCAGGTGCCAGTGTTGGATAACCGTTGGATTTTGTTTAGATTTTGCAAATCTAATCAACGTTGAAATTGCAACGTCATTCCAACGTCGTTTCTCAACATAGGTGAATTCGCCAACATTGAATCAACATTGATTTTAGTTTAGATTTTGCAAATCCAATCAACGTTGAAATTTCAACGTCAATATAAAGTCCTGCTTTTCAACAGTTTATTTTGTTAAACCGTTTTCACTAAAGTATTGATGTGTTCAACAGTAACACCAAACACCTTGAAATGGATACATAAACACTGGTTCCGGACATGCCAGCTAGAAAGAAGCAGATTGGTCAAATTAATAAAGACATTTCACTGGCGTAAGAAAAGTGCTTTATTACATGGCTTTATTACATTTATTACACATCATACTATAAACTTTAGAAAATTGGCCCAAACATTAGGCAACATGTACGGCTGGTTAAAGGGATAGTTCATCGCTTTAAATCTTCCCTCGTTACTTTCTGCCACCGCCACCCATCCTCTCTGGTGCATATTTAAGGTATTTGGCCATGTATTGGTCTACTTCTGTATTTGTTGTAGCAAATGAGCTCAAGACAGCGTCTGATGAGAAAAAAAAAAAAGATCAGTATTAGCAAACACTAACCTCTCAAATTAAAATATTTTGCAAATATCACATTTTGTGGCATTGCCAATGTTTCAAGTATATAAATTAGTATTTATCAAAGTGCAAGTTCATTGATAATCATGTGCTTGGGCTGTTGTTTTATTCAGAAATATTATTAAAATTTAAAACAGCGGTTTTCTATGTGAATATATAGTGATGTGTAATTTTTCCTGTGATCAAAGCTGAATTTACAGCATCATTACATTACATCATTAAAGACTTCAGTGTCACATGATCCTAAAGAAATTATTATAATATGATGCTCAAGAAACATTTATGATTATTATCCATGTTGAAAA